AGCGGAGAATTGCCCAACTTTCTCCTCTAGCACTGCCACTATGAAAAAAAAAGATTCAGCAGCTCCGGATGCAGGCTGGCCTCAACCATGTGAAGGTTTCCCAGGCAGCTGTAGATTCGAAATAGTTCTGTCTGCAGGATGCTCAACACGAACCCTTGCTGACTGGAGTAGCTTCAAGTACAAATCCCTTTAGACCCCAGAAAGTCGGTTCATTTTTGTAGTAAAATGAATCTTTCAAAGGTTTCCTAAACCACTTTTCATGAACCAGTGAATATCCAAAGGATAACTAAACTTGAACCTGTACAAAACTTATCCCTAAACATATGTGCTACACTATACAAATTTCTACTTGTGTCAATCCTTAACATCTACCTCTCTGAATTTTCATGAATTTCTATTTCATAAGGGTAATTGTTTTATATACACTGGCATCTGCATGTAATAAAATACTTAGTGTATATATATATATGATGGAGCTCTGGTAGTTTAGTAGTGATGAATTGGGCTGCTGATCTGACGGTAAAGATTTACAGCCTCGGAAACCCTATGCAGGGTCACTATGAGTAAGAATTGATTCCATGGCACACCACCACCACTATATAGATATATTTGTTGTTGTTGTGAAGTGCCATCGAGTTGATAGCAACCTTGTAGGGTTTCCAAGGAGAGCAGCTGGTGAGCTTGAACTGCCAACCTTGCAGTTCAAACGGCTTTGCAGTCTGGCACATTAACCCACAGCGCCACACCAGGACTTTCTCTCTCTCTCTCTCGCAAACCTTAGGGTCAGCAGTTTGAAACTACTAGCGGCTTCACAGGAGAAAGATGAGGCTTTCTACTCCAGTCAAGATTTACAGCCTTGGAAACCCTGTACAGGGTCGCTATGGGTCGGAATCGACTCGACGGCACTTAACAACAACAACAATATATATATATATATATATAAATAATTGCCACTTCAACATTTTACATGTATGACTTGTTGATATTAATTACTTTCATCATGTTGCACAACAGATATCTTCGACTTGTCTTACTCGATATTGTAAAAGAATTTGAATTTTTTGTGAATGTTCTCAAATTGGAAGATAACACCAGATAAAAAGACTCTAGTCATCGTTCTTTTTTTCTTTTTCCTCTAAGCATCTCTTAATAAATTAAATGATCTGATGGCACTGAGCCCACATTTCTACATGGGGAACACGAGCTTGAATTAAGAAGTGCTGCCTTCTTAAAAGGGACATGCACACACTGCCAAGATTTTGACTTGGAAACTAGTGCATCATAATGCCAATCACACAGATGGAAAATACAGACGCACAAAATGATACATACAATTTGGAACAGTGTGACTTTCAAGGTCACTGGTGCACACACATGGAGATGGACAATGGATAGTTGAGTATAAAGGCCTGCTGCTCAGGAGACTGGGGTTAAACAAAAAGACTTAGAGTTATCATCTTGAAAGAAGGGGTTGAAACCAAGGCAGTGTTTAAGAAGTTCTGGGGAAATCAGAGAAGAAGAAATACAGGACCAGGATTTATCCCTGAGGAATACCCATGTTTAGCAGGGAGAACAAGAGTGGCCCTGAAGAACAAGAAGAGGACCAGAGGGGTGTATTCTGAGCTACGTATCCACTCCACAGCAGAAAGATTTGCAATCTATTTCCATAAAATCTTGGAAGCACCTATAGGGTAGTTTGGCTCTGTAGTACAATGTTGCTGTGAGTCAGAACTGACTGGACAGCTTTGGATTTGGTTTGGGTTTTGGGTTTTGAATACATAGTGATGTTCAATTAAAATCTTGTTTTATGATGTTACATTGAAAATACAATTTAACTACCAAACCAGACCAACTTATTTGCATTGTGCTATTGGATTTTGGCCAGTTCCTGAACTTTTGCTGTGCTGTTCATTTAATTTTAGTCAATACTGGAGGTGACTTAGGTAACGCAGAGAGGCCTAATCAACCTTGCCCACATTTAGACAGCAGCACTCTTAGGCCAATGCGAATGGATGGAACTTCTATTACATTTTTAGAGATCTCCTGAGGAAGAGGAGATTCCCTCGGTAAGCCATTCCAACAGTTAACTACTCTTATTTGCCTTATGTTTAGGCAGCCAAATGTTGAAAAGCAATTTCTCCACACATCCCTATAGAGTTGTACAGTTTCTGTTCACAGTGGGAGAAATATGCTTCGTATTACTCTTTCTCTGCCAAATTACAGTAGAGTCCCACTGGAATGACACAACTTGTTATTATAGAGATCTGGAGATATGATACCCTGGGTAGCTGCAGAGATGAGGCTGCCAGGCAGATAAGCAAATCAATCAAAGAGATCTTGCATGCACCTTTGTTGTTGTTGTTAAGTGCCATTGAGTCAGTTCTGACTCAAAGAAAGACTGGTGAGTTTGAATGGCCAATCTTGTTGTTCAAACCAACCCTGCTATCCAGTGCTTTATCCCACAGCACCACACCAGGATTCTGCTCATATCCTAGCTGTCTGAAACCTCAGATAGACTCACCTTAAGTGACCTCCCCTAGTCTGGTGGGCTACCAGGTCCTACAGACATTGCTCAGGCAAACATTATTCCTATGATTCTAGGTCATATCTTTACCACCACATAACCGCTCCAGAGAACAGCGAGCTGTTCAAGAGAGGATGACAATTCTACACAGAGATGTGAGCTCATACACTCATAAGATTTACCTCTGGGCTTGAGTTTCAATTCTGTTGGTCCTGACTTCTTTCCTCCAAGCTTGTACCAAGTGCCATTTGTCAACAAGAGCCATTCCTCCACAGCACAGTGATATTTGCCCTGATCTCCAGCTTCCACATTTAGAATGTGCAGCTGAAACAAGTTCTGAGAAATTTTCTCGGTGTGAAATTTTTGTTTTCTCCCTGGGGTATGGAATCCATCCCCATATTTTATGACATTGGTTTGGTCCATTTCCAGGATCTTCAGCCAGGATGCATTAGTGGAAAGTGGGGAAAAATACCAAATAACTGCTAACTGAAGTTTTCTTGTGGACAGGGATAAGATACTACATTCTATCTCAGTGTTGCTGTTGATGGAGAGCTCTTGGACTTGATTGCTCAAATTCACTGTTAGTGTGCTCTCTAAATATAAAGAACAGAAACAGTTACTTACAAAAAATTATTGTGATTTGAGTGAAAGTTTACAGAGCAAATTCAACAATTTGTAAACATTTTGTTTTATCACATTAGTAGCAATCCTTGAATGAAAGTACACTCTTTCCACTTCCCTTGCAGAGTTACCGTTTCCATTCATCCTTCTTTCCTGTCCCTTCCTACCTTCTGCACTTTGTTTTGGGGCAAAGTCTACTCTTTTGGCTTCATACAGTTGACTGTTCTGGGGAGTACATTCCTCATGGGTGTTGCTACTTACTTTATAGGTTTATCGTTTGACTGAAAGAGATCACCCCAGGTACATTCAGTTCCAGGTTTGAAGGGTAAACATCTCAGGGGTTCCACCAGTTTCTGTCAGAACAGTAAGTCTGGTCTGTTTTATGATTTTGAATTTTGTTCTACATTTTTTCTCCTACTCTTTCTAAGACCTTCTGTTGTGATCCTGATTAAGGTGGACAGTAGAAGTGGCTGGACACCATCTAATTCTTCTACTTTCAGGTGAGTGGAGGCTGTGGTTCTTATAGTCCATCAGTTCTTTAGACTAATTTTTACCTTGAGTCTTTGATTTTCTTCACTCTTCTTTGCTCCAGGCAAGGAGAAACTAGCATCTTAGATGGCTGCATCACAAGATTTTAAGACCTCAGTCAGTACTCACTGAACTAGGATATAAAACATTGTCTTTGTAAACTATGTATGCAAGTTGATATAGATGCCCCAAGACTGTGGTTCTAAGCCCCCAAGTGCAGTGACACACTCCCTCAAGGTATGGCTAAGAAGTTTCATACTTTTGCCATCTCTGTGCTCTTCTGTGGTGGTGGTTGTGTGTCATTGAGTAGCTTCCAACTCCTACTCAAAGGGACCCTGTATAGGGTTTTCAAGGCTGTAAATCCTTACAGGAGAAGAAAACTTCATCTTTCTCCTAGGGAGCAACGGGTAGATTCGAACTACTGACCTTGTGGTTACCAGCCCAGTTCCTATGCTCTACTAATATACATGAGCATATTTGCAGCATGTGCAAATACACATGTAGAAATCGCTCTCTCTCTCTGTATATATAGTAGGTCCTCTTAATCCTCCTTACACAGACATTTACTATATGTCTAAATGTCTACTATGCTATGCACACACTATTTCAGGCTCCATGGATATAAATATATATATAGAGAGAGGACTGTGGCAGCGTAGTGCTTACAAGTCAGGCTGTTAACCTCAAGGTCAGCAGTATGAAACTACCAGCTGTTCCATGGGAGAAAGATGAGACTTTATGCTCCTGTAAAAATTTGCAGCCTCAAAAACCCTATACACTACCACCACAACTATATATATTGTTGTTAAGTGCCATTGAGTTGATTCCTACACATAGCAACCTTGTATAGGGTTTTCAAGGAGCAGCTGGTGGATTTGAACTGCCAACCTTGTGATTTGTAGTCCAGCGCTTATGTTATGGAGTCACAAGAGTCTGTGTGTGTGTGTGTGTGTGTGTG